GTCAGGAGCACCAGCACCAGAGCTAGAACTGCCACCAGCCCTATAGTGAGGACTGGGCCCCCAGCCTGCAGACACACAGAGGACAGTGTTACTGGTATGTGTCTTACTAACAGGATCAGCACACTGTCTTCAGTATAACGGGCCATTTCCATACCTACACAGGGAGACCCAGAAGAAACTGTGACTACATAGTTACCTAGGTTAGTAATGTTTGCACTTCTCTGATTGATTACCTCACCCAGTAGGTTTGGAGGCACATCATCATCGTCTTAAGACACAGATGATTAAAAGTTGTTCCTAATGGTTTACACAGGTTATTTAACTTCAACATATGTCATAAAGGCCACCATATTGAAGAAAGAAAACACATTCAACAGCCACCAGATCGTTCCTAGTGAGGTCACAGAGCCAGCCGAGCCAGCATACAGTGGGATTGGACCACAACATAAATACGGGAACAGAGAAGCAGAGAAGAGGGAGGAAAGCAGACCTCATCAGTCATCATTACCATTACTTATCTTCATCATTATCATCTCAGTTTTAAAACAAAATTCTATCCATGCAATTTAAGCACTTTAAAGAGTTCTGGACTTTGTGCATTATTCCAAGAGAGCTTGTGGTCTTATTTTAATTCAGATTTCATATTTAGTGGAATTCTCATGCTAAAAACATCCCTCCTGTTTTAGTGGCGCACTGTTAGAAGAACAGGGAAATTGTTCCCATTCACTTGTGCTTATCCATGGTATAGAGTCAAAGATTTAATTCTTATATGACCCATTTTTTATAGAACTCAGGTTTCCTTTCATTAGACAGTTAAGTGTTTTGTGATGTACCTAGACTACAGGGAAAGATTTGTGGAATTACCTGTCTGGTGGAATAGGACTCTGAAACACACTGACTGAAATAATCTGTCTTTAGAATAATCGTTGTGTGTATTGTAGAGTTCTAAATTAAATTGTCATGATTATGTAAATTATTGTTGATAAATATTTGTTTGTCCTGTCTAATTTTGTCCTGATTAATATTCCTTCATCACTGTGCTGCAGCATAAAAGATGTGTATTATTCTGTAGTCCCAGTCTTTGGTGGAGGAAATCATCAATCTGTAATTATTTGCTTCGTATTAAAAATGGTGATTTTTTAACACCCCACTATTCTTACATTTCAAAATCTCCTGCCCCCATCATGTAACAATTTCTTATGGTTTTTAATGACATGGATGCAAGCACAATTAGACTTGTGGAAAGAAATTAAGACCACCTTTTGAACAGCAGCATTTTGGTCAAGATCTGTGTGCAAAGTGCCCAGCTTCTTTATTTCTGTGATCTTGAGAGTTTGCTCACAGGTTAAATTAGACCCTTAGTGTTTATCCAGAGGCAGATACTGTAGCTACTGCTGGTCATGTGCAGACCAACCAGTGACTGAAGATCTGAATGACAATGCCAGACAGTATTCTCCTGTGAGTGTGCAAACTCTTCAGCCACAGTCTTCACTCACCGAGTTACTGTACGCTGAGCTGCTGAGCTGAGCTGAAGACATTGTGGAGCTGATTGTAGAATCTGCTGCCTTCCCAGTCGATTTACCTACACAGACACGTTATTAAAAATACAGGCACAACCATTCATTTTCATTCATTTCCTGGGCATGTTGTAATGATTTACAGTACTGTGGGAAAGAAGATGATGTTGGGCTTTGTCAGGAGAGCTGTCTGGTTTTAAAGATACTGAGTGACCAGGGTGACTGAGGGCCATGAATCTGGGTGACCAGGTTACTGGGGGCCGTGAATCAGGGTGACCAGGTTACTGAGGGCCGTGAATCGGGGTGACCAGGTTACTGAGGGCCATGAATCGGGGTGACCAGGTTACTGAGGGCTGTGAATCGGGGTGACCAGGTTACTGAGGACCATGTATCAGGGTGACAAGGGTGACTGAGGGCCGTAAATCAGGGTGACCAGGTGACTGAGGATCATGGTCAGTTTCCTTGTCAAATCCGATGTGACTCTATAGCATCTCTTTGGCCCGAGCAGCTTCACCAACAAATACATAAAACTAGAAAAAATTACTATATAAATATATATCTACATATAATTATAAATATTGATATATATCTACACACATATATATATACAGTAGATATCTATATAGAGTGTCTTCTGAAAAGATCTTCATAAATGTGAAGCAGTCAAAGAATTTTAAAATCTGGTTGTGACTGTTGTGTGGGTGTGTAGGCCAGGGTGTGTTTCTCGAGGGTGTGCACGGCGTGTGTGCTGAGCTGTCGCTGTGTTAGGGAGGGGGTGGCACTCCTCCGTACTCGGGGTCTGAGTGGTGGCTGCTGACGTCCGAGGCTCCGGCGTCACTGAGGAGGGGACGAGCGAGTTGGTGGTCGTCACAGAAGCTGGAGGGGGGACAGAAGAAACTCCTGCTTGGTAAAGAAACAGAGACTTGGGGGAAATTCAGGACTTGGGAATAAACCCACAACCACTTAGAGATGCCAATTACATTTGCCAGCATGGTTTTGGAGACTCTTGGTAGGTAACTAGGCAGGACTAGACAGAACCCATGTGGACATGGGGACATGGGGACATGCAGACCCCACACAGAAGGTACCCCAGTCCGGAAGCAAACTCAGGACCCAAGACCTGTGAGAAGTGTGCTACCCTAAAATTGATATATTTAGTCTATATAAATAATTATTGCAACTTAAATACTTCACCTGACATGAGAAGTCCTAAAACAAAAGGTATTTGAAAGGTAACATTTGATCCAAATACATTTGATTCTCTAAGATTAAGAAATTCGATTCATACATAAGAAATGAGCTATTGGTAATAAAATATCATATACTGTATATAAAATATAGAATAATCTGAGTTTCTGTAAATGTATTAACATGTTATTCATATTCTCTTAATCTATTACTTGCAAACACTTTCTAAAAGGAATGTGTAACGAACATTAATTATTTTCAAGCTATATGATAGTAAAATGGAACAATAAAGCATACCACCAATTTGAGTGTTTATGACTGGAGCACAACATGATTCATTCCTCGTAGAGGATACAAACCGTATCTCTTCATTCCCACCCTCCAAAAACTCTCTATTTCTGGTTTCTTGCAAATACGGTGAAAATGTTCTTTGTTGGATTATAGAAGTCAATATTGCACAAAAATGAAAAAGATGTGTACTTACGGATTTGATAACTACATTCTGTACATGCAAGTAAGACTATGTTACATATGTGACAATATGGAATTTTGAATTCATAGAATGTTTAAGGGAGACAAATTATACAACTGGGCAAAGGAAAAGGAAACCTTGTCCTTGAGCCAAGAGCCTGTGCTGTGTGGCATTACGTGGGGGCGTGTCCAGTGTGGAGGCGGAGCACTTCATCCAGGGCTTCACCTTGCCTTAGTATCCACAGCTGTCCTGGCTGCTTGAAGATGAGCCACAGCAGTGAGGGCTCTATAAAAGCCCACTGAACACCCCCCTAAGGGACTTGCAGGGCCAGCCCCGGAAGGGGAGGAACTTCCACCGGCAGTCCCGGAGGGGGATCGTACCCGAGCGTAAGGCTGTCGTTCTTTTTCTTTTCATTTCCTTTTTCTTTTTGCCTGTCATGTCCTGTATCTTTACTGGTACAGGCTGACTGTTTTCACACTTCAAGTTCCTATTTTGTTTGGGGCTTATGCTCTCTGCTCTTTCAGACTGGACTCCGTTAAACAGGTTAAAGTCCAGTCTGGCCACTGCTGTGCTCGCGGTTCTTCTTTTACCCAGGCTGGACCCTGTTAAATAGGACAAACCCAGCCTGGGTGTCGCGATGCACAGCGGCACGCTTTGTTTTGCTTTTCGTTCTGGTTTTTTCACCCTTTTCTGTGTTATTTTGGTTCTTGCTAAGCTCACACCGGTGCTCCCATCCCTCAGTTATCCCATCCCTCAGGCTTTTTACTGGTGCTTGCCACGGCTCCTCCCACTCCCAAGGTTACAGTTGGAAAAGATGAAAAGGTTAGGGTTAACTTCTCATACCTGTTCTTAATTGCTGTATCTTAATTGTCCTTAATGTACACTATTGTTCATTGGTGTTTGTTCAGTTTGTGCTCATGTGCTAAACCATAAAAACTCTTTATTAACATATTGACCGGCAGTCCTACACTACAGCCTGCAGTGCAGTAAGACAGAGTGGACAGGGGTCAAGGTCACAAGTTGTTAGAACTGCTGCTCTGTATCTGATATACTAACATCTGGAAGAAGAGTTATTCTGAAACACGACAGTGAAATGTTCACTCAGCTCCTTTTCACTTGTAAAGACACGAGGAGAAGGAAGTCGCTCAACATGGCTGAGCAGTTCACTCACCCTTTGTAACGATCAAGTTAACTGTATGTTTCTGGTCATTAAACCAGCCTGGCACTTTCACACGGCAGCCGTAGAGCCCAGAGTCGCTCTCCTGAGCGTGGAGGATGGTCAGAGAGACATCGCCTCCGGTCAGCTGTCCCAGCAGCTGGTGCCTCTCTGAGAGTCTGGAGTTCACACTCTGTCCATCAGTGGAAATTATCAAATTATTACACCCAAAAAGAGGTGGTTCTCCTCTCCCCCAGCACATCGTCGTCACCCCGTGATCCGTCACAGAGTATCTGCAGGGAAGAGTGACGTTCTGGTCGACGGATCCGTTGACCGTCTGAGCAGAGACTCCAGTGACTGAGAATGAGGAAGAAAATCATATTACACAGCTTCTGATCAAGTCCCCAAAGATTGTTAAAATTGAGTACTGGCATGTTTTTCTGATATAAAGAGTTTGATCTTTAAGAATAGAAACTTCATTCCACTGAATGATACTTCACTCTCTGTCCATCTTTTATCACACCATAAAAGAAGCAAAAGGTATTTCTCCTCTCTTCCAGCACATTTTCTGTACACCATTCTCTTTCACAGAGTATGTGCAGGGGAGAGTGATGTTCTGACCAATGATTGTCACAACAGAGACTCCACTGCCTGGAAAGAACATGAGAAACATTATTTGCAGAGTGAGCCACACAGGAAGCAGAACAACACACTGTCCACATCACAGGGCTGACCCAGGCCTGCAGGAAGTTAGACACGAGAGGACCTGGGTGTTACTGAAGAGGCTTCTGTGTCCTCATTGAAACAACGTTGGGAAGCAATAAAAAAAGCGAACAGTCTAGTTTTTGGATTTAGAGCACAGAGTGTGGAATTTATACCCAGGGAAGTTATGCTCAAGGTTTTCAGCGTCCTAGTAAGGCCTCACCTGGAAAACCGCGTTCAGGTTTGGTCATCAAACCACAGAAAAGATATTGCAGCCTGAGAAAGAGTTCAAGGAAGAGCAACAGGAATGATTCCTGGTCTCAGGAGACGGCCTCTTACAGACAGGTTAAAGAAGCTAAACCTCTTCAGTCTAGAGCAGAGGAGATGGAGAGAAGTTCTGACTAAAGCATATGAGCATATCCGAATGTATAGATACAGACAGAGCCAGCCCAAAAGACTGTTCCACACCCTGCAGAGAAACTAGGACACAGACTCACAGCTGGAATTTTAAATATGTTTCCATAAATTAAAGGAAATGTTTCTCTACACAAAGAGTTGTGGCACTAAACGTCCCCTCCTCTCTTTTGCAACTTTAAATGTAGTAGCTGTATTTTTCAATTTATTATATGAAAAATCCTTTTACTTTTAATTTTCTAATGAAGTTAAATTCTGTCCTTTCTAGCCTCTTTATCTAATACAAGGTTGTGAGGGAGCCAGAGCCTATGGCAGCAAGCAATGGGCACCAGCCGACATACACCCTGGACTGAACACCAGTCCATCACAGGACAGACTGACATACACCCTGGACTGAACACCAGTCCATCACAGGACAGACTGACATACACCCTGGACTGAACACCAGTCCATCACAGGACAGACTGACAGAGACACAGTTACATACAAGTACACAGCACATTTTTCTCAATTTTCCCAAACGCCAATTCAACTACCAGCATATCTTTGGACTGTGGGGGATCCCAGAGTAACTGGAAGAAACCCACACAAACACAGGGAGAACATGCAAACTCCACACAGACAGCACCCCAAACAGCAAAGCTTACCACAGTGCCACCACGTCACTTGAGGGTTTAATTATAATTTATAATTCCTTAAAGAAAATCTACATTTATAATGAGAAATGTGAACCCTCCATGATACAGCTACACAACTGCCCAGAGAGTCCAGTGTATCTCCAGTATAAAACCTGCCTGCAGAGACAGAGACTCTGTCCTGTCCTCACAGTGATCTCTCCAGTGTATCTCCAGTATAAAACCTGCCTGCAGAGACAGAGACTCTATCCTGTCCTCACAGTGATCTCCCCAGTGTATCTCCAGTATGAAGCCCAGTGTGATGATCCCAGTCAGTGACCCACAGCTCAGAAGCCCAGGTAGCTCCTACCTGCCATGAGGCTCAGGACCAGGCAGCATGATGGGAGGATCCTGCAGAGTCTCATTGTGAAGAGCTGCTCTGACACTGGAGCCCCTGCGTCTGAAAGACTCTTGACTTTCAGTTCTGACTTCCCCTTCTGTGGTCGGCTGTAGACTCAGTTTGTCATCTGACTTCCTCTCTTGCTTTGTGATTCGTAGCTCAGGTTTCTATATTTAAAAAAATTGAAGTTGTAGTATTCTAGGCCAGGGGTTCCCAAATATGGTCTTCACAAACCATTAGCTAGAAGGAGTTGCTGGATACAGGAGTCCTGTGCAGGGACAGGAGATCTGTAAATGTCAATGTTGCATTGAATCACAGGAAGGGAATTGGAACAGGGGCAGATGGAGTTGAGTGTAGAAAAGTGCAAATGAGTGCCTGCAGACAGGAGAACTGTCCTCTGTAAATATCAGCTGGAGACACTGGCCTGTGAAGAGAACTACTCTGTTCACTCATCATTTCCTCTTCCAGATGTGGTGGAGGAACAAAGGAGAACATGGGGAGCCTTGAGTATAGCACAGTGTATGTATATATATTACAGTGAAGTATGTGACAGGAAATACATTTTTACACAAAGAGCAGCAGGTGTCTGGAACATGGTACCCAGTTTGCACTTGAAATCATTTTCCTGGTCAGAAGCAGATTCTCAGTTCAAAAAGGTTCTGAGTACAAACCAGCACTATGGGTTGAACTGACTCCTCTGGTCTGTAACTTCTTCATTTTATATGAAATACATTTAATTTTGTCAATACGTAAAGTCCTCTTCTGTTACAAGAAGCTTTCAAAATGACTAAAGTATTAAATCACCCATGTGGAATACAGTTATTTCTCATCATTTGACACCACATACAGTGCTTGTGCACAGTTAATATTGACGTTTATTCCAGATATCCTACACCACTACACTGTCGTGACTCTGCTCTCTACATTACATTATGGGTCCTCACTTTTAGCACAAAGCTAACAGAGAGAAAGGCAATTTTAGCCTATATTTAAGGACTTTCCTCCTTACTTAAATAATAACTGATTAAAATAAGAAAAAAGCATGTGTCTCTTACATATACCTATCCTCCACTATTTTTAATAAGTTTCAATATTTGCAGTAATTGTTTTTCTAAAGGAATAACACCTCTAAGAATTTCCCACTAGGTGTCAGTGTGGTACAGCTGTTGCACTGAACTATAAAAGGGATTAATCTGCTGTTTAAAGTGAGTAGTTGTAGGATCTTCACTTGTACAGAAATAGGTTCCTAATCTCAGACTCCTTCTGAATGTACACACTTTATTAGAGAATGATAAGCTGCACACAATGTTGTTCAAGTGGTACAGGTGTGGTGCTGAATGGAGAAGAATCCAAGGCTCTTTCTTCATCATGGTGGGTGTCATCGCTTTATGCACCTGAAGAGGAGCGCAGACAGAAACGCGCCGGTCAGACACACGACACACAGCAGCCGAACTCCATTCGCAATGAGGACTTCATCCTGGTGGGCAAAGGAGGAAGAGTTAGAAAAATACAACTTTACCCCACCAGACTCGTATCCCTGCTTCCATCTTCCCCACCCATCCACTTCCTGTCCACTGTATACACGTCTGGGTCACTGGGCATCCGGAGCCTATCCCAGAGAGCAACGGGCACACCCTGGGCAGACACCAGTCCATCACAGGGCACACACAGAAACAGCACCACGCAGGGCCGAGTTTCCCTGCTGGCAATTAACCTACTGTACCAGCACGTCTTTAGACTGTGAGAGGAAACCGAATCACCTGGAAGGAAACACACAGAGAACCTGCAAACTCTTGACAGATAATACCTCCGGAACTGAACCCAGGGCCCAGCACTTCCCTGGTATCTCTACAAGTGGAACTCAATGTTGAAAGCTTGTGTTTGTACAGAAAACTCCAAGCCATTTTCACTACAAGAGTTTTCAGCCTCGGTCTATGGAATGTCTGTAGGTTTCCGGTTCCGTTCGGTTACACTGTGTTTGGGGGCGAGATAGGAGCTGTACTCACGGGGACGTGCGGAGGGTGGGTTCCTGTCCGGACAGCCCCTCCTACAAACACGGGAAAGTGTCAGTAGCGCCCGATCACAGCAATACTGATGAAAACCGGACACGGGCGAGGAGGTCAGTGTTTGGGTGGGCACTGGCTGTTCTCACAGTCCAGTTTCTATCAACTCGATGGCCGGTCTTGCAGCTGACAGAATGATAACAAGATTTACGGCAGGGAGCTGTAGTTGACGCAGTTCAATGAAATCCCTATTGTAATGACACCTTTTCACCAGCAGGTAGCTCTAGAGTTCAATGCCTGGTTAGCATCAGACCTCACTGCAAAATTGATGGTTATTGAAGTATGAACTGTGAAAGGCATGTGGCGATTTCATTCGTAACCGTGTTTTGAAATAAATATCCGATATGTACAGTTAGTTATATTTCTTTAAACATTTACTGACCATTTAATGTCAATTAAAATAGTAAATAAACACATATTTGCTATATAAATCGCCATTGAGCCTGAAAGTCCCGTTTAAAAACTGTTTTGATATATAATGTTATCTGTTTTTGGTTCGGTTGTTGATAAACTAGATTATGTAGATGTTCTTCAAGAAGGGTAATTCAAAGAAACGCCCGTCAAGGCAGAGAACACCAGCTTTTCCCTCGACATGGTTTTCCGCCGGTTCGCGTGTGTTATTACTGTCTGTGCTCTTCAGTCCCCCCGTTTTCCAAACACCTCCTGCTATTCGGTGTCTCGGGGGAGCCGGAGTCTTTCCCAGAGAGACATGGGGGCAAGTACAGGGTACACCCCGGCTGGGATACCACACACACACACTCCAGGGCCGGTTTTCCAGGAAAACAACTTAACTTGCCAGTATGGGACTGTGGAAAGAAAGCCACACAAACTAGGAGAGATCATACAAACTACACGCCGTATCTGTGCTCTTTAGGAGTGAAGTCAGCGACGCGTGTGTGCCTTTCTCTCGCCCGTAACTGATAATGTAAACCTCTTTTACAGTACTAATATAAGCCTGGAACAACACTGAGGAGAGGCGTCGCCGCCTATAGTCTCAGTCATGCTGAGAGACCACATTCTGTATTAGAATTACCAAAAGAAGGTTTACTCTATGCAGAAAATGCGTTTGATTATTACGCAGTCGACTAATGTTATTTCGGCTGGATCTTCATTAGGTAGCTGTGGCGTACCCTGTGTGTAATTGTGCTGTCTGCCTGTGGTGTGTCCTGTGCTCCTGTCCCAGGGCTGTTCTGTGGAAGCGGAGACAGTGGCTTCGGTAGCTGCAGTTGTGTAAGGAGCTGGAGGAGAAAGAGACGGAAATCTTCGTTAGAGAGGGTGTCAGAACAAGGTTCCTTGTGTGTTAAAAGATGTGACACGTCAAAATTGGATCAAATGTCCTTCCTTGTCTCTGTTGAGATTGTTGACGTCTCATTTAGGATGTTATTTGTAAAGATGTATGAGGTATAAAACACATTGTCACATTGCTCTTTCTTCTGAGCTGTGCACAACCAGGGTTCCAATCAGACAAAGTAACAGATTACGGGCAACAAACTCTGCTAATGAACTTCTTTTGTCGCTAAGATCCAAAGAGCATTTGCCTTCCTTAGTCAGGCAGGAATGTCTGCAATTAAAATACTAAGGCTGATTCCAATCACTGTATGCTGATTATATAGAATTTAATATATCAAATAATATTTTTTTTGCATTTGTTTATATATTACTGGACTATATTTATAATCTTTTTGGTATTCGGAGCTATTGACATAACTCCCAACCTTTGTGTAAAGAAGTCCTTCCTGTCTTCAGTGTTAAATACTCTTCCCTGTAGTTTCCACTGGTGTCGTCTGGTTCGTGTTTTTCTGTTGGTTCTGAAGAAGTACACTGGCTTCACTGGGTCAGTGCAGTCTCTTCTAGCTCACTCTTTCCCAATTACAGTTTCTTTTTCCTTCCTGCCTGCAAAACCCTGTGCTTGTCTGCATAAACTGTGATCTCCTAGGTATTTGCCTAGTCTTGAATTCTAAGGATGACTAAGGATGACTAAGGAAGACGTACAGTAGCATTGTCTTGAATACATTTTGCTTCATCCTTAATGCTGCTGTTCTTGTTGTGGTAATGAAAAAACTCATGTTTTGCTCAGTTGCAGTTTTCTTTTCTGTCTCTCTCTTGGTCTGTTTCAAATCTTCTTTAACCTGTTCCAGCAGTTCACTGTATCCTTTTTATTTGACTGGCTTGTTTTTAAATCATTTTATGAAGTGCCTTCATTTCCCTTATATTTTTCCAAATTAATTTGTTGAACTAATTGGGTTTTGTTTTTCTAGCCTTTGATTTGCTAACTCCTGGGATTAATGTGTTGTGTGTTTTATGCACAATCTCATTAGACTGTTGCCATCTGTTTTGCACTGACACCATATCTACCCTGTTCCATTTTTTTCCCTTGAGCTGTTTCATGCCTTCAACATCTGCTTTTCTGAGGTTGTAGACTTTTGCATTGGACACATCCTGTACAGTTTCAAAGTATAGAGTTCTTCAAAGCACGTAGTTCCCTAATTGCTCTCATACCTGTTTACCTCAACGTGTCTCAATTGTTTTTGAAGACAAGATCTATACAAGCATTTTCTCCTGTAGGTGCTCCAGATAACTGGGTT